GAGGTCGTTTTGACTTTTGGTAGGTCAATTCACTTTCCTTTTTATACGGATAAATAGTTTCAAAGAATTCAGCATTATCTGATTCTATTATCGTATTAACGTGAATCTCAGGATTTTCTGATTTATGAACCAGAAAATGATATGCCTTGCTATTGGTTACATATCCAATAAATACACAATCAACCATTCTTAGACCTATCTTAACCCTTTTAGGTTTAGGAACTTGTACTTTAGCTAAACACCCCCACACTTTGAAGTATTTCAAGGTGCGCTTCCTTCCTTTCAATTTTTCATAAGGAATGGACTTTGTTTTACTATGAGGTACTCGGTTGATTATTCGGTTAGTTGTAAGTATAGCTTCCCCCTACAAGTTCTGTGGTAAACCAGAACTTATCAACAACGCATTCATCATCTCTTTCAACGTTCGATTCTTTCTCTCCGCAATTCCATTAGATTGTGGAGAGTAAGGGGCAGTTGTTTGGTGAACAATGCCATTTTCCAAACATATTTCTTCAAAAGGAGATTCATATTCGCCACCCCTATCACTTCTTATTATGTTGATCTTTTTGTTTAGTTGTGTTTCAACTTCACTCTTGTATTGCTTGAAAGCATCAATTGCCTCATCTTTACTATTAAGTAAATAAACATAGCAATATCTCGTGCTATCGTCAATAAAAGTAATAAAATACTTTTTCCCGCCGCGAGATGGTGTTGACTTCATGTCGCAAATATCTGTGTGAATTAAGTCTAAAGGACTTGAATTCCTTTCAACGGACTTATAAGGATGCTTAGCATACTTTGATTCCACACATATTTGACATTTGGAATTAATACAATCAAATTTTGGCAATACTTCTAAATTTATCATTTTCCGCAATGTTTTGAAGTTGATGTGACCTAAGCGTGCATGCCATAAAGTGTTTGACTCAAGTAAGTAAGAAGAAGCATTAACTTTATTGATAGGAACTGTTATTACATTTAGCTTAAAAAGGCCCTCATCCAGGTAACATTTTCCTACATACACATCATTCTTACTTAGTACAACACTATTAGAAACAAAAATACATTTGAATCCATTCTTGACAAGAAGTGAGATAGACACAAGATTCTTGCGAATTTCTAGAACATGGAGAACTTGGTTTAGAGTCACAATTTTTCCCGACGTCATCTTCAGTGCAATCTTACCAACTCCTTCAATTTTGGCTGTAGACGAATTTCCCATGAAAATTGTCTCATCGGGTCCTGCGGGGGCATAGGAAGAAAATAACTCCTTGTTAGCACAAACATGGCGGGTGGCCCCAGAATCAATCCACCATTCTTTAGGATTTCCTACCAAGTTGCATTCAAACAACATGGCACACAAGTCTTCCATCTCTTCAGCATTTTCAACCATGTTAGCTTGATTCTTCTTCTTCTTATCATTCTTTGGTGCACGACAATCCACGGCATTATGCCCAGATTTTCCACAGTTGTGGCAATTACCCTTGAATTTTTTCTTGCTTGGGTAACTCTTTGGTCCAGAAGCCTTCTTTCTCTTCTTATTTTGTGGCGCCTCCTCAACAATGTTAGCCCTTATTATTGTCGAGTTTCCACGTGACTTCTTTTCAGCATTTTTGTTGTCTTCTTCTATCCTCAAATGAACAATCAAGTCTTCAAGTGTCATCTCCTTCCGCTTGTGTTTTAGATAGTTCTTAAAGTCCTTCCACAACGGAGGTAACTTCTCAATGAAAGCGGCGACTTGAAAGGCCTCATTTATGACCATACCTTCAATAATAAATTCATAATTAATAACAAGATAAATCTTATTAATAAAATTATTGATTCGGGTCATACCTTCAGCAAGGAGGTCATGCACAATGACTTGTAATTCTTGGACTTGAGTTATGACCGACCTAGTGTCAATCATCTTGAAATCCAAAAACCTTGCAGCCACGAACTTCTTAAGTCTGGCATCCTCAATCTTGTACTTCTTCTCAAGCGCATTCCATAACGCTTTTGAAGTTTCCATGACACTATAGACATTGTACAAGCTATCTTCCAAATAACTCAAAATGTAGTTTTTGCACAAGAAATCAGAATGTTTCCATGCTTCAGTTACAACAAATCGTTCGTCATCCGGAGTGCCTTCAGCCAGGACCGGAGGATCCTCCTTGATAAATCGCTGCAAACTCAACGTAGTAAGATAGAAGAGCATCTTCATTTGCCAACGTTTGAAGTCAATACCGGAAAACTTTCCGGATTTTTCTACTGGTGCCATAGCATGAGCAGGAGTTGAACGGCTTGACGAGGCAGCAACACTCGTAACAGTAGCACCCGTTCCCGCAACATTTCCATTAGTTTGGTTTTCATTCGTCATTTTTCTGTAGAGTTGGAAACAAAACAGAACTTTGTTAAATCAGTGAAGTTTTGATATCTTCAAACTGAATACCAAACCAAACATACAACACGTAACAATGGTGAAGTTTTTATATACTTCAAACCCGTACGTTTATTATTCCGGTAAAGTTTTGATATACTTTAAACCGGACAGAACAATTATTGGAGTAGAAAGCACGAAGGCTTTAGTCTCCAAACCAGTATACAAAATATAGATAACAGATTAATATATATTTCAACACCGAAACGTTAGACTAAAATTCCTTAAGCTTGTTGTCGCTACTGTGTTAAAACACAAAATTAGAAAGACTGTTAGAAGATAAACTGGAAAAACAGTAAACTATAAAAAAAAATATTCCGAGTCCACAATTTGCTTGTGCGTCCTTAAGGAATTTTAACCCCCTCACACTTTGCCAAGGTAATGGATTAAATCCTCCTAGGATGAAACGGAATAAACCTTCCTGCAACAGTGGCAATACAAACTGCAGGATACCAACGAACTCAAAGAACGGAGCAAAATCACACTTACGAATTTGAGAGAGAGAGACTGCGAAGTAGAATGCAGTATTCAGAAGGAAGGAAGTTCTATAATTTTTCAGTTTCGAAAAAAGAAGCCATGCCTCAGAATTTATAGGCAATTATCGGAAGAGGTGTGATGTCTGTTCAGGAAAAAGTGTCTGTTCAGGAGGAAAAACAACGTTCATCAAAGGCAGCGTGAATTTGAATTCCAGTTAATTCCGTTAATGAATTGACTGGCATTTAATTAATTATTAAATAATTAATTAAATAAAATTTGTCCAAAAAATAATCTTATCAATCATTTGACAAATCCAAATCCAAAGCCAAAGCCGAAGCCGAGCCGAGCGAGCGACGATGACGGCGCGAGGGTTCATTCTCTTCAACTCCTTTTAAGAGTTCTAAGAAGTGATCCTATATATATACACACAAATGTAGTTGTCCCTCACCAATGAGGGACAAAGTTCATGACAAAAGCTCACTTGATTCAAATTTTTCATTTCCCTCCATTTTATTTCTCACCATTTCCCAATTCACACTCTTAGACGTTAAAGCCCAATGCTTAAAGTCTTTAAAGCCCAATGCTTTAAATTCCAACAGTAATTGTAGTGGTTGGGTGATGTTGATGATGGTGGTTGGGTGAAAGGGAAGGTGGTGGTGAAGGAAGAAGTGGGGGAAGGGGAGACCCGGGGATGGGGTAGATGGGTTTGGACGGTGAAGTGTCATTGCCACTTGGCGTCTACCTCAGCAAAATATCAAGCCACGTAGGATAGAGTTGGACATGGTGTAGGTCCTAATGTAGGAAGGGTATTTTTGCACCGGTTTTATAACATTAGAGGCTTTGATGGACAAATAGTATAACGGAGGGTATATATAATTCTTTTTGCATAGTAAAAGGATAATTTTAACCGTTTTTTGATTTTTCCCCGCTAAAAGCTACTAGTACTAATTTACGAGCTGAAAATGTTGGAGTAGAAATAGCGTGGCATAGCCACTTTTTAACATGGTATGTAGTTTTTATCCAGTATTTTTAATGCTGAGCAAAAATAGCCATTACTCTATTAAAATTAATACGAAAAGATATTTTTACCCTTTCTTGATAAGTGTTGTTTAAATATTTAGGACATGGTATCCTTAACATTTACAATGCATACATGAAGTTAAGGACGCCATGTCCTTAACATTTACACTGCACATATGAAATTAAGGACATGACATGACACTTTGTCCTTAATATTTATACAGCATTCATGAAGTTAAGGACACCATGTCCTTAATATTTACACAACACTCATAAAGTTAAGGACATTATGTCCTTAACATTTACACTGCATATATGAAGTTAAGGACGCGAGGTCCTAAAGTTTAACAACAGAAGATGCAAATACAAGTTAATGACATTATGTTCTTAACATTTACACTGCACACATGAATTTAAGGAGCCATGTCCTTAACATTTACACTGCACATATGAAGTTAATGACATGCAGGACACTTTGTCCTTAATATTTACACATCATTCATGAAGTTAAGGACAACATGTCCTTAATATTTACACAACACCCATGTCTAAGAGTAAATACATTTTAAACCGTGGCTAAAGAGCAAAAACATCTCTATTTAGTGGCTAACTTGCACTTCCCCCAATGTTGGATTCAATAGACACTATTGTATCGACGACCTAATCTGCATCTCAAAAATAACATGCAAGTTTTTTCTCACTCGCAAACATACATACTATAGATCCTTCTCTACTTTTCTTTTTCTCGCATGGTGTTGCATCACAAAAATAACATGCAAGTTTCTTCTCTCTCGAATATCACATATATATATATATCCTTTTCTAGTTTTCTTGGGGGGTGGGGGGGAGGGGGGGATAGGTATGTATATCTATCTCAATGGCCTCATTCTAAGAAATACTTGTGATTGAATATGTTTTGCTGTGTAAAATGCAAGGACGATTCATTCCCACGCTAGTGCAAGACAAGCTGCAACCTTTTTTTGTCTATGCTTGCATAAGAAATACTAGTAACACTCTTTCAAGGGTTAATAAATTCATAATGCTAATGAAAACAATCTTTTCACATACAAAATAATGGATACTGAAATGCATAATAGAGTAGGCAGAGTACATCTCAACCTTTATTCAAAAACTAGTACTAGTACGACTTACAACTCCAGCCCGAACTCGAAGAGTCAGAGTTTGTGGACGATTATCTGAGCACCATACTGAGGTCTCATAATCAGAGTCAACAGAGGGGCATGAGTGTAGGAAGGAGAGAGCTCAACCCAAAAGCGCTGCAGAATTTGAGATAAAATCAGCTTGGCTTCTAACATGCCAAAGTTCATCCCAATGCACATCCGAGGACCCCAACCAAACGGAAAATACATCTGCTCTTTTGCAGCTTTCGATACCCCTTCAGAGAACCTCTCTGGATTGAACATTAACGCATCGTCTCCCCATACTTCTGGATCGCGATGAACCAAATGAGTAGGCACGCACACTTGTACTCCTGCTGGAATTGTCATGTCTCCTAGTTTGGTGCTCTTTGACGTGCTTCGAATAAGAAATATCGCTGGATATAATCTCAACACCTCTTGGAAGATCATGTTTATCTAGTGATCAATTATTAGCAGAACAAAGAAGATATCATTAGAATCTTGAAACTTATAAAATATAGGACGTGAAAAAAGTATACTAATTATTGTTATTACTTACTAATTTTAGCTGATTTAAGTCATCAAACTTTGGTTTATTTTTCCCAAGGCAGAATAGCCTAAATGACACTTATACTTGTGCCACTTTGTCATCCTGGTCTCCAAACTTAATGAAGTTTCATCTAAACACCTCTATTCGTTCAAAAGCAATATTTTAAACCCTTTTGACCATTGACCAAGCCTATGTGGCATTTGCTTTGCTGAGTTGGATAAAATGCGTGACTACACGCTTTAAGAAGCGAGTAAAGGTTTATGATTCTAATTAAAAATACCAAAAAATAAAAAGAAAAGAAAAAATAAAGGGGGGTTAACACCCAGAAGCATTCAAGCGTCTTCCAATCTCAAGTTTTCTTTTCCTTCTACCCCTTTCCCCTCTCATCTTTTCCTTTTTTTTTTTGCCGCCATGCTCAAAGGTGGTATGGGGGATTGTATCTTTTTCTTCTTTTTGCTTGTTATTATGGTTTTCGTAGCGGCTGTGCTTGAGATTTTAGAAAGACTTAGTTTTGGGGAGGTATTGTTAGAGCTAGTGATGTTTGTGGGGTTCATATGGATTGCTGTTCTTGTTGGGGTGTTGGTGGGATGGACATGGAAGCTCAAGTGGGCTAATCTTGGCACTGATTCTTTTGATTCACCAGATGTTTTTGCCTTTTCTTCTTCCGGTATGCTCCTCCAGAACTTGTAATCTGGGTTTGATTCCTTCAATCCTCTCAAATTGAAACTTCCCACCTGCATTTCTTGAATCAAGGAAACTCAGTCCCTGCTAATGGCTGATTTTCAGAGAGAGAAAGGCATGAATGTGTTTGTGAGAGAAAACTTTAGGATTCAACTTTTTCTTTTCCAAAAATAGTTTTTGTGAATAAAAATAATGACATGGAATATTTTTATCTGACGTGGATAATACAGTGAGACGATTGAGGAATACACACAGTCAGAAGGATTTAAAATATTACTTTTGAACGAGTAGAGGTATCTAGATGAAACTTCATTAAGTTTGGGGACCGGGATGACAAAGTGGCACAAGTATAAGTGTCATTTAGGCTATTCTGCCTTTTTCCCAATGACTTGAAATACTTCTTTCCTAGCTTTGTCTTGCCACTCGGGGTGCATGCTCAGGACCACCATTGTCCAAGAGAGCAAAGCTGTGGTTGTATCTTGACCTGCAAAGTAGAATTCTTTACATTCTTCAATCACATCCTCGGTCGTTATTCCTCCTGCTTTAGACTTGTTATCTGCATTTCTTGCTTTTAGGAGTAGGCCTAAAATATCATCATTGTCTGAAATTCCTCTTCGCACAGCATCTTCTCGTTTCTCTATTATTCCTCGTATCAAAGATATATATATAACTTTCTTGTGGATGTACTTTGCTTTTCTGTTTGAAGCCGTAGGAAGAAATCTGCATAAAATCGAAACAAGTTATGACACGAGGATCCAAATGTTGAACGGAAAAAGTACTTCTGCTTAGTTATTATATACGATTTCACTATAAACACACCTTAGCGAGGGAAAGAAAAGGGTGAATGGAGACGCCAAAATTAGTTCGCACTGCTCCTTTTGAAGTAGGAAAATTGACCTTCCTTCTTCAATATTGCTACCAAAGGCAGCTCTTGATATAACATCTCCACCTAAGTTTAGAAACTCGTTTAACACATCCAACTCACAACTTCCTGAAAAAAAAAAAAAAAAACAACTTCTCTGTAATTTTACAAAGTTCTGGAAAGGGTAGATTATACGCAAATTTTACCCACACATTGTGAAGGTAGAGAGGTTGTTACCGATAGAGCCCCAACTCGATGTAAAAGTAAAAGAAGGAGACTCAACAAGTAAAAATGACAACAAGACAAGATGATAAGGTGACAAACTGATAGAATAATCGAAGCGAAAAAACCGACATAGTAAAAGAAATTTACGGATAAGAAGATATGAAAATAGGAGACTAATACTAAGCTACGGGCATGAAAAGGAGACACTCACGCCTATCTACTAACCTTCTACCCTAATTCTCAACCCTCGACATCCTCCTATATTAAGAGTCATGTCCTCAGTAAGTTGAAGTTGCATCATGTCATGCCTAATTACCTCCCCCAAATACTTCTTAGGTTTACCCCTGCCTCTTCACGGCCCCACCATGGACAACCTCTCGCACCTTCTCACCGGGGCATCTATACTCCTCCTCTTCACTTGCCCGCACCATCTCAGCCTAGCTTCCCGCATTTTATCCTTCATGGAGGCCACTCCCAGCTTGTCTTGGATAACTTCATTCCTAATTTTGTCTCCTCTGATATGTCAACACATCCATCTCAGTATCCTCATTTCAACTAAAGAAAAATAGATCAATTCACACTAAATATTTTCTTTTTTCTCCTTTACTTAATGGTGCATCCATGTTCTTATAATTCGAGATCCGCCTCCTCCTTTTTCTCCTTTACTTAATAGTGCATTCATGCTCTTATAATTCTAGATCCGTCTCTACCTAAATACACATTTTCAACTCCTTTTCACATTTCTAGAGTTTTCCGTCCCCTTTCTTATACTAATTAGTTTAGTATGTGAGTAACAGAAATTAGCAGACTCGTAATTCAAGACTTGTAGCTAATCCAACTAAATGTTAGAAATTAAATAAGATTATTAGTTTGCGAGGATTCTCAGCCACTTCGTCTGAATCAGCTGTCTTCAGTCTTTTGTAATGAACAAACTTCAGAAGTTGTACCCTGAGCTTGTGTAGTGGTTCGGAGCTGTTAAGCATTATTAGTTGGAAGCTGAGAGATTGAAGGTTCTGAAGTTTTACATTTTAGACCTACAAGATCCTTAGTAGAAGTTTCAATTTGTTCAGATTAGCCTAGCTGTAGTTTATAATATTCCATTTTCGTCCAAGTTAATGGTGAGAACTATAGGTACACCTCAACCCCTGTGTCTCTACCCACCTGGAAAGAAGATGAAAATGATAGAAACTAGAAGTGCAAAATTATTTTTATTGAAAAATATCAAATCATACGATCGATATTATTCTTTGGTCGTTGACACAAGATTATCGCATTTATGTTAATTTCAAATAATTGCACTATTGACGTACCATATGCATGCAGATGAAGAAGGGGACCAAGTCATATATTAATGCATTGGCCAGCGCCCAAGGTTTTATTAGTGGCAGAGCCTACTAGAAAAAATCTTGGCCGAGTTGGCAAATGGCTTTAATTTTTCACTGCACTTAGCAATTTCAACTAATAATGTATTGATAACTGAATCATTCATTTATAAGGCGAAATTGAAAACGTTAACAAATAGATTTTCTAAACTAAATAATTATGCAATCTCATCAAAGGGGGTTAGTTTGTTTGTCATGTCAAGCTGCCTTTGAATCATGCATTCTTTTCTTTATATACGATAGAACAGCACTTAATTTGCAGCAAATACCCATAGAGACTACAACATTCAAGATGTACTAAAAGAAAAGAGGAATGAATTTTTAGGGCCTCTTTGGATTGAATTTGGGCGTAATTACGCAGTTTTAACATGTTTGTGTGATCAACATGGAATTGGGTGTAATTGAGGGGTCGAGGTGTAATTACGCTCCGCAATTCTCAAAGGGGAGCTGAGAATTGTGGGTAATTACAACCAGGTTATTTTCTTAATCTCTTTTGGTTTCTTTAATTTTTTATTAACTTTTATTTCTATTCTTTTTACTTTTTCATTTTTTTTAATTTTAAATTCTTTTTTTTTTCAAATATTATTTTTAACATTATTTTTTTTATTTTCTTGTTTCTTATTTTTCAACATTCACTTCACGTGTTTCTACACAATTTCTCAAATTTTGTTTCTTTCTTAATTACTTTTCTTTATTTTTTTATGACAACAACAACAACAACAATAAACCCAGTTTGATCCCAACAAGTGGGGTCTGGGGAGGGTAGTCTGTACGCAGACCTTACCCCTACCTAATTCAGGTAGAGAGCTTGTTTCCAATAGACCCTCGGCACAGGAAGGGCAAGAAGGAGAAGAGGAAAGCAAGGGAGGAAGAAAGATGGAAGATAAAAAATAAAATAAAAAAATAAAAAGGGAAAGATAAAGGATAAGTGGCACCAAATAATAGCAACAGGGAATACAATACCTGAGGCGAACAAAACCACATAACATAATAAAAATCTAAGAATATGAAGGGACATGCATACTACTAAGACTATCGGTGAACAACTATAAACTACCAACTAACCTTCTACCTTAATCCTTGACCTCCACACTCTCCTATCAAGGGTCATGTCCTCGGTGAGCTGAAGCAGAGCCATGTCCTGCCTAATCACCTCTCCCCAATACTTCTTAGGCCTACCTCGACCTCTTCTCAAACTCTCCATGGCCAACCTCTCACACCTCCTAACTGGAGCATCAATGCTTCTTCTCGTAACATGTCTGAACCATCTCATCCTCGACTCCCGCATCTTATCCTCCACGGAGGCTACTCCCACTCTGTCCCGGATATCTTCATTCCTAATCCTATCTCTCCTGGTACACCCACACATCCATCTCAACATCCTCATCTCTGCTACTCTCATCTTCTGCACGTGGGAGTTCTTGACTGGCCAACACTCAGCCCCATACAGCATAGCCGGTCGAACCACCACTCTATAAAACTTACCCTTAAGTCTTAGTGGCACATTCCTATCACACAAAACACCAGAAGCGAGCCTCCACTTCATCCATCTCACTCCAATACGATGCGCGACATCTTCGTCAATCTCCCCGTTACCCTAGATAATTGACCCGAGATACTTAAAACTCGCTCTCTTGGGGATAACTTGAGCATCAAGCTTAACCTCTACGTCTGCATCATGGGTCCCGTCACTGACACTTAGCTAAATTATTATTCTAATTTTTCTAAAAACTTATACCTCGTAATCTTGGAAAGAATAAGTCATCCACAAACTTGACTTATAATGAGTGATGTGATTAAATTTGAACTTTATTATTGGATGAGGTTATACACAAACTTAACTATATTAAAATGATAGATTAGTTTTCAATATTTAAATAATATTCTCATTTTTCAACCTTTATTTTTTGTGATTCCATGTAGGTGCTCATATTTTTTATTTTTCTGTATAAGTGATAGATGGAATCGTTCAGTAGGCTAGTTTTCATTTTCAATTGAGAAAGCGGCGGACCCGGTGAGCTCTTCAATAGTGCACCGAAATGGGGCCGGAGAGACGGTAAACCTTAGACCGGCTAAGATCGAATTGAACTGTCTTTGATTGAGCGAATCCTGCCCGATTTTGATTTCCGTCCCCGCTGAAGATATCGTAAATAGTTAAATATTTGATTCCCCTATTGAATTAGGAATCGATTGAATGGGACTTGCATATCCCTTATTCATATCCTTTTTTCTCTCTTTCTTTTTGATTTGGTTGGCAGGGTTAGGGCCTTTCTTACTGGGCGAGCTAATGCGTATTATTGTATGTCAATGTGACCTTAACGGCCTTTATTTTAAGCAATTATTCGCTCCAAGACACACGACAAGACCTTTGATCTCTCTCTCTCCATAATTTATATGGAAGTTGGAAAAAATCAACCACTCAAAGCTGATCTCAAAATGTTCCAAACACGCATAAGTGTGAAGATTGAAGACCTTCTTTTCTGTATTTCATATAGTTGATTAGTACAAAAGAAAAGGGCACTAGTTCACGCATTACGGGTAGATTCCTCTTACCTAAGAAATGGAAGGGGGCACTTCACCGAATGATAGGTAAAGTATGGGACGTTCAGTAAACAATCCCTTAGCTCGAGTCCTCGGAGATACCCAAGGCAGCTCCCCGTGTCCTTTATACCCAACAGGACAAGAGTATATGGGTCCGCCAGGGGCGGATAAGAGCTCGTCGAACCATCATTCTTTACTTGCGGGGTCAATCAATCGGTAGTCCTCCAATTTCTTCTCGAAAGCCTGTTAATAAGAAATAGCTAATGCAACTCGTATTGACCAGGATTGACAAAAGAGGCTTGGATTGGAGATTCTTGTGTAAACATTCAAGTTGACAATCAGTTTTCTAGACAGCTAGTGGACTCTGAAACCAATACCAATGATTTCACAAGATTTAAGAATAACGTAGCACAGAAAACCGGACTCACCAAGGATGGCGAATGGGCAATACGTAAAGGTTGCTCCGCTGACTATGGATTGTTTATAGCGGTACGATTACGATGCTAGCTCCGAATGGAAGAGAGGCGGCTTTCCTTTCAGATGTTGCAAACGCAAAAATGAAACACCTTAGTCAGCGGAAGAAGTCGCTCTCAATCCGATCTAGCAAGAAATGCTTTACCGGTAAAGTAAAGAGAGAGAGAGTCGATCCTTTCTTAGGGTTCCAAGTAATTCAACCAGTGCCAAGAAAAGTATCCGGTGGTAGAGCGAGGCGGTAGAGGGGAGTTGGCACAATATGTAATCCCTAGGGTATCGGTGTCGGAGAAGGGGATCACTCAATCCTGCTACAGGCACTCATTAGTTCGGATTGGGTAACGTGAAGGAGATAATAGAAGGACCCGCCGAAAGTAGTTCCGTCTTTCCAGGTCTTCCGGAGTCAAAATTTCCTCATCCAATAGCATTCTTAGTTAGTACCATTCAACTAAGCCTGTTTTTGACGAGTGAAGCGGCTAGGCTACATGCTTAGCCTAGTATTCCTGGATTGGTATTGGATAAGAAAGATTTTGCTTAACAATAAAGTGAGGGGAAGGCTTCCATGGAAAAAGGGTAAGTTTGGGATGAGAGGGTGAACACTAAAATAGTAGTCACCAAATTTGATTGTTTTTTTTATGAAGGCGAATTGATAAGAAAAGGTACTTCCATGTGTATAAAAGCACAAGGGAAGGAGGCCCCTAGTCCAAGTATAATAGCATAGGGGGTGTAAGGGTAAAGATACTAGAGTGGTTTGGCACTCCTAGTCAGCTTTCTTTCGTTCGAGCTTTCTTTCTTCTGCCTTTACGCGAGCCAATTATGCGTGGCGCTGAAGAGGAAGACGTCATTTACTGTACTACTATCGGCCATACAATGATGGCATTGTGGATCGCATTCGTATTCCAGTTTTTTTGGACAAAGTTAGAGTATTCATTTGGGGAATAAGTCTTTTTAAATTATTCTATTAGCATAGCATTAAGTGGTAAAAATTTTATACTATAGGTTTGACCATACTATACATGCAAACATAACAAATAAAA